CGCAACGAAATATACACGCTTCATATTGGAATCACTGGATAGCAAGTCTGTATTTTCATTTCGAAGGTTTATTTTGAAACCTGAAGTTTCAGACTGTGACTTTAGATTGCTTAAAGAATTTTAGAAAGTAGCAACAGGAAACCGTCAGAATCGTGAAACATATAAAATGACATACAAAATTTGATTAGGCCGATCAGTGTTCTACAAAGTTCTAAACTCTGCCTTTCAAATAATTTCGATCGTTTAATAAGAAATGTAAGTGGAAGTCCTAATGCCTTGAAAGACGTCTGTTGTGAGAAACGTAGCGACCTCTTTAAATCAGATATTAAAACTTGAAGTAATTGAAGCATACTGTACTACAGGTCTAAAATAAATCGTGGGTAAGTCGTTGTTGCTATTTATCTGAGATAACTTTTCGCATACAGGAACATACTGTAAAACGCTTGCAGTGTTCTGCTTGTTTTTCTGTACAGCTTCCTTTCACCAGAGTCTAGGATGCCTTCTAAAAAGTGTTCTGTTGTGCTACCTACAGTCTACCTTCTTCCTGTTAACACTATGGCTTCAGTTCCACTGATTAACGAACTGGGTTACGCCGGAATGACTGAGATTACTGGAGCATCTTTATTCGTCCAATCAACTTGCCGCGACCATACGCAAAATGGTTACCTTATAATAGACAGTTGTTGTCTGATGCACGTCTCCTGAGGGGAAGCTCTTGGGGGGACAGTGTACAGGACTGCTACAACGGTGGGACGGGTGTATAAGTAGACGGTGGGGTTCAATTTACTACACTGTCTTTCAGAATCGATTTTGATTGGTTGTGATTCTTTCGGAATTGTGCTTTTCACGCTCTACTCACATGCCCATAGGCAGTTCGGTTTCTCGTGTTTTGAGATTATTGTTCATCCTAGACATGAAATGGTAGTTTAGGTTCAGGACAATGAGGTAACTGGTCATCATGAAGAGCCTATGGCTGCATAACACTTTAAGCTCATATCAGAGGTTCAAAGAGGCAAGTAGTTGGCGCTGTGAGTGGCAAAGGCTAGTTGCGCTTACAGTAAGAGTGGTAGAAACTAAGCCCCACATGAAACTGAAGAAAAGGAGACTAGAAAGTCAAATCTTCGAATTTAGGAAAGTGTCTGTAGTCACGACACAACTCGTGATGCTACAATTAGTTCAGAATACTAGAATTAATTGATACATTCGAAGCAATAAAAAAAAAAAGGAAATTTCGACTGAAAATTGAATGAAATCAAAAAAAAAAGTAAAGCAGAACATAAAATCAAAAAGTAAATTCAGTACTATGATTAAAGAAAATAGTGAAGGGAGATTTAAAGCTACCAATTCTAAGTACTTTAGAAAAGAATTTCAAGGCAACTCGTAGTAAAGAAAGTCGGAGCACGATTGCTCTGATTGATTTCAAGGGAACCCCTTTGGAAGAAGTCATTATTCCTCTATAATTCTAGTTTTGGCCGTTTTTGCTTTAACATTTTCGCATGTTTTGGCCAAATATCCGTGTTCACACGTTCGAATATCCGAATTCTATGTGTTTTACAGAACTGTGTATTTGCACGGAATCATTAAAATTTTATAATTTACTGTGGGTTTCATGGACGTCACAACAAGTTAGCATTCTTCTTAATCGAACCTTACACCATTTCTTCTTGCCAACTTCTTCAGTCGTCTCGGGATCAAAGTGGCTCCCCGATGACAAACAATAACGTCTTTTTCGGCAAGCAAATTAAGCAGATGTTCTTTTTCGAACAACCAAAAATATGAGTATCTTAAAGCTAAATAAGAGTATTACTAAAACCCGGCTTACTAACAATTGGCTGTAACGCCACCACTTCTCTCAAATTTCCCTTTTTTCTGTGTCTTGCATAGTAAAGGGAAAATAGCAACTTTCCTAAACCTCACTGGTTCTCATTTGACTAAATGGAGAAAAATAGTCATTATTGAACAGACAATGTAATAAATATGGCCTGTTAATTCTGCAGTTACTATGACAGCTATAGACGCATCTCCCACTTGAATATGTATTAGGATACATTTTAGTCGGTTTTTTACTTTTTCCTCCACTACTGGATGTCCTAATAACAACGATAAAGAATTTGGTATTTATAGATCAATAAGCTACTGGGTTTTCTATATCGGATGTCCCCTACAATACTAAGTTGTCGGAAAGCAGAGGATTTCGAGAATTCTCATTCAATTAATATCTTTTTAGACGTGACAACCTGTTAAAAATTGGATAAAACGCAGTACGAATAAGTTCCAGAAATACTAACAAACGGTCTTTATTTACCGGAAGGCAACAAAACATTGGATTATTCAATCACTTACGACTGAATTCAGTTTTAAAAGTTACAAAACAACTAACAAAGCTGTAATTAAAGAAAGCATCAATAATTATGAAATTAAAACATTAAATTAATAAAACAATTATCACAGCCATTACCTGAGACTAAATACTGAATAGGCAGTATTCAAACAAGTGAGGTGCACATTACCTACAACTAATTAGTAAGCTAACACCTTATTAAAAAGCAAGAAAATACGACAGGATTACCAAATCAACCATGGTTTTTAGCATACGATTACCAGTAACGAAGATTACAACCACATATATAGCAGTTATGAAATCAACTAAACTAAAGCCTTGCGTAACTAAATAATTAATCAAACCGCTACCACCCAATTATGACTTTATAAACTTTAAGTTTCGTTTCAATAGCTCATTTTAACTTAAGATGTTTATCAGTGGTGAAGGAAAAGTATGTCGATTGTAAAAACTAAACAGTAATTTATACGTATGGAAATCTCCAAAGGAGATACACCAGAAGCACAGAAAAATTAAAAACGAAACACTCCCACAAATGCAGTCAAATAGGATGGACACGAGGAGTGCAATTTTGAAAACAGTACTAAACAAATTTTTTTATAAATGGTATGTATCGCATCAACAGGTTGACAACAAATGGCCAAACAACAAAGAAAATTAAAATCTTCCAATTCATTACTGGGGCTTCTATTTTTGACCGAAGGCTTTGCATAAAGGTAAAGAATAGCTTTTGCTGTTCAACTACTACCTGCATCATTCGAACTAAGCGGAGTGTCATAGACGCCATTCCACTACATTTTTCACGGTGTTCTTCCTGCAACATTTTTGTGGCACCAGAATTCGTGGAGAGCCCCAGCGAAGAATCCCTTTAAGTAAAAAGTTTTAAAGTGAGGACGAGTTATGGTTCGGGCATATATTCGAGTACAAGGCGGAAAAGATATACCTGTAATGTTTATCCGCTTGTTCAACGTACACTGCTTCCTGTAAAGTTTCTGGTTGGGTTAAAAACTTGAGTACAAATTCTTAGAAAAAATCTGACAAGTGTAACGAAGAGTTGAAAGTAAAGTTGGTAAGATTACATCTTCTATATCCCTCGCATCATCGTAGTCGTCATCACTACAGGCTTTAAGAAATTTCACAGAATTACCTTGTGAACAATCCGACAATGAGTCATAACTACCTGACGATGTTTTTAGATTTTCCTAAAACCGTAAAGACGGTAAAAACAAAAGCAGTCTTAAAAATTATACCAATTAAAAAACCCTTTTAACGAAAAGACACTATACAAAGTAATTTTATCTCGAATTAACAACGACAGAAGAAAAAGTTATAGGTTGAAAGCAACACCTTGTTTCACCACAGTGGCTGATTTTGTGAGTAAGTGAAGTTTTACGCCGTTGTGGCATGGTATTAAAACTTCTACCAAAGTTTTTTAAACCAGTTTGAAGAAAATTTTTTTTTTATTGAGCAACTGAAAAATTTTCACTATATTTTCCGACCATAAAAAAACAGCTGAAAGTATGCTGAAAAATTTTCTTCAAAAATCCAGTTTTACTAGCTTTAAACTAAAATACCTCAAACTTAAGAGTAATTGCCGGTACCAAGCTAACGAGTTAAGTTTAATAAAAAATAATTCTTTGCAAAATGCATCTGAAAAGTTTTAATGGCTAATTTTTCCGAAATCAATCCACATTTGTAACAGTAATTGCCCTATCTTATTTTTGGCACGAATAAAAAAATGAAAAAAAATTTTTTTTTAAATGAGCTAACCCGTTCTCGTCACAAGTCAACTTTGAGAAAAGCGAAGAAACAATTTTTCATCCACATCTAATGTGGTTCAATGAATTAAAAAAAACTGTTCCTATAGAACCAGTGACCTAAAATTTACAATTAAGCTAAGACTTACCCCTGATATTTGAGAAAATTAATAAGCAATATTTCAAAAAAATTTTCGCAGTACTACTATACTTTGGAAGTTTAACAATTAAAAGTGATTAACAAGTGATTTTTGGTAGTTTATGAGAAAATAAATGTGATCGATTTAATCAAGACTTTGTATTCATACTGGAACCCTCTTATTATGAACATACCAGATAAATATACAATGGTGTGTAATGTGAAATCATAAATATTTATTCTGATTTTCCACAAATCTAAAAAGATTACACAATCTCCAACGCTTTTGCATACTCCTGTTCACACCCTATACAAAAAATTACCCTTTTAATGTGATCAAAGTTCGCACTTCTTAGACAAGGAGAAGACTTCAAAAAGTTATTAGACCACATCCAAATTTAGCAGCCAACTTTTCACCAAAAGTCGAATTTAAATTTCAAAATTCCCATTTTCTTTACCCACCAGCAGCTTTATTTATAATTAGAACATTGAACAACTAGTAAATCGAATAAAATATTAAAATCTAGATTCTTGTTTCAACCAAAAAACCCATCCTGAACAAATCACAAGTTATCAATGCTCATTAAACTACATACATAGTTCAGGCTATTTATTGACTAGTGCATAATATAATTACAAAAATGTCACTTACTGAAAAATCCTTTGTACCGGGTAAGTCATTTATACTGCTGTTGTCCATTCTGCCAGGTTTACTGAGCATGACCCTCCAATCTTAACTCAAAAAACTGATTTTTTTTAAAAATTAAACATGCAAACCGAGTTTGACAGGCGACGACAGAACTACAGATGAGGTCAATAAATCAAATTTACCGTAACCCAATGCCTGAAAGTTCGGTTTCAAAACGCTTTCAGTGTCAAAGTCATCATCTTCCATCAACAGAGCGTAACTAAAGTCATTCATAGCTCTGTCAACGACATTCCGCAGCAGTTCTACATACTTTTGTTTTGCAACTTTCTGATCCATATCTGCCAATGATTTCCAAGCTTCCCTTTAGTATTCTTATAGTCTTTAAAATTTACTTTTGATGCACAAACATTTCATATAAATAACATTTGTTCCTTGGAAAAAACTTTGATGGAAGCAAAATACCATTTATATCTTTCAACAACGTTCCAAAATGAAGGCTTTGGAGTGGTGCAGGAGCCAAAGTTAGCTTGTTTATACAGAGAGTAGAACAGCAACTTCCTTTCATCCGGTAATTTCACAGGCCCTGAAACTTTAGAGAGCCTAAACAAGGTCCAT